GTGGTTCAGGAGTCAGACGTTTACCACTTTGGTGAAACCTACGAGCACGGGTATGGTACTGACAAACCTAGAAACATAATCGGGGCGAATCGGGATTCGAACCCATAATCATAGGTTTCTGGCGTGCCAAAGGGAAGCAGCTCTGCACAGCGAATCGTGGCGCCTTAGACGATTGGGCCACCCGTGCCCCCGCTACACTACTCAGACTAACAGACCAATCAGAATGGGAGGTTAAATGGCAGCTCAATGTTGTGTTGGCAATATCAATAAAATTTTGTTTGTTGTTTAACGCCGCACTCAGCAATATTGTAGCTATGTACACAGATTTATACATGCGTGTCAATAATTCTAGAAAATTAAGTTAGATGTAACAAAATTATTGTAATAGTCTTACGGGATCACTATGTAAATAATCGAGTCTGGACCAGACAATCAAGTGATCATGAGCATCGATCCACGCAATCGGGATCGATGACATGCATCAACCAAGTCAGCCAGCCTGACCATCCCGTTAGTCGCTGCTTACAAAAAGCAAAGCCGCCTTTTACGGCAAGCATGGGCTGCTGAAGACCTATTCTACCCCGAATCTTCACAGGTATCACAGGAATAAAATCTAGGGGTTAGAGTAGGTTGACCGAAGATATGAGCCCTGAAGATATAGAAGATTAATCAGCCAGTGTTTTGTACATAATGGAGATATGAGAAGAGAAGGTTGATTCTACTTCTGGAATCACCATATTCGAGTGATTTCTCCAACTTAAATCATGTTAAGGTTGATGTAGGATGTTTCTATAATTTTTCATAATGACCTATGTAGTTATGTCAAATTTTACTTGTTAAAATGCACGTTCAGAATGACAAGTGAATTCCTGGCTCAACATGCACAGGAAGAACAATAGTGTGAGGTCATGAAAATGGTGTAGAGTTGAATAATTTCTGACTAACAACAATGTAATACTTGACCTCCGCAGCTCATGATAAGCTGGTGGGTATATTGCGGTCATATCACCATGACATTGTATACTACATCAAGAGGTTATCACACTAAATCATGTTGACTGTATGGGATTCCCCCATTCGTTGTCAACTCAAGTTATTCTGGGACAAGCCGAATAACAACTTGTAGCCCTCTCGTAGCTATTTTTGCGACTGGGTTCCGTCTAAGCGCAAACAGGCATAGTTAAAAGAATTGTCAACCCGTCACGTAATGATTCACGTATATTTTCCCCATGTCGTATATATTCAAGATGCTATTTAAGACACATCGCGATTTACAGTATTATACAGTCTGATTGAACACATTTAACTGTATCTTTGGTATAACTTTAGATCCAAGACATGTGTAAAATCAAACATTATTCACGAGGGACTCTTTGACCGAAGTACCTGAAGTCATATGGTCATTATGATTGGTTTGTATAATTTCGCACAAAACATTCATCGATAAGGAGATAAGTCTTCTCGCAGGTTACGGAAAGGGGCGAGTAGTGACAAAAGGGGATTCCCCAAGCAACGTTGCACTCGTGTCATCCATATTGCCCAAGACTATCGATATATTTTCATGAAACATTAGGCATGTTACCATCATTTTACAGTTGTTCAAATGCTTTTGATAAAGGGACATTTTTTAAAAACCATTTAATTCGATCACATGGTTGTGTAGCAGGGCGTGGAGACATTCTTACCCCAACGTGGGGCTGAGCACGTTCATATTAAATTTGAGCAAAATAAGCCTCAGTACCCTACTATGCGTCCCGGGACGTGCCTTCTGTTGACTGGGGAGTATGGAGCAGGGCGTGGAGACATCTCACAGATGACATCCTTACCTTGTCACCTTGCTGATGGGGTTAACCTCTTTGGTCATGTGGACAAGGCGTCCAACCTCGGATCAGAAGGTCCGTGGTTCGAATCCCATCACGGGACTCGGAAATTTTATGGCCGCTACAAAATGGTGCCCAACTTGGGGCTGAGCACGTTCATATTAAATTTGAGCAAAATAAGCCTCAGTACCCTACTATGCGGCCCGGGACGTGCCTTCTGTTGACGGGGGAGTATGTAGCAGGGCGTGGAGACATTCTTAGCTTGTCAGCTTGCTGACAGGGTTAACCTCTTTGGTCATGTGGACAAGGCGTCCGACCTCGGATCAGAGGGTCCGTGGTTCGAATCAAATCACGGGACTCGGAAATTTTATGGCCGCTATAGTTGCAAGGATAACACTTCCAAAATTATAAAACCAGTCTTGACAAACTAATATGAAGACCAAAACTTTAAAGGGACAAAATTTCAAAAATATTATTGGCTTTCAATTGCACACTAATCTGTTGTCGGGGTTGTTTAAGGCGCCGCGATTCGCTGTGCAGAGTTGTGTCCCTTGGGCACTCTGGAAACCAATGATTGTGGGTTCAAATCCTGGTTCGCCCTGATTATGTTTCGAGGTTTGTCAGTACCATAACCGTGCTCGTGGGTTTCACCGAAGTGGTAAACGTCTGAGACCTGCATCACTTCCGGCTTCCTCCCAAATTAAGCTGACACGCCATGATATAACTGGAATACTGTTTAAAGCGGCGTTAAACCTCACTCACTCACTGTTTTGTTGTCAAGTATGTTCACTGTGTTATGAGTAGGGAAGAGTATTGGAGGTTTAAAGTGTATCACAATATTTTACAATGCACAAGGCCTCATTGCGATACGATCACGATATATTGTATAATTAAAAAATTGAATTAAGAAGCAATTTGAGATATCAATGGAGGAAGTGAAGTTCATAATTGGAACAAAACAAGATGCTGGAACAGCATAATGTTTACTCATTCAATAAATATGCACGGAGGCACGCTCCGGGACAGTGATGACTTGGTGTTACACCACTGCCACTGAGGAACTCCAGAATGGGAACTTGTCAAAGGTACATATATTTGGGAAGTGTATAACATTAAATACATGATAAAATCGCTATTTGCAATCACCAGATATATTGAGCAATATAACATGATATTGTGATACCTATCATGGAAAGAATGAACCTCAATTTACCGATATACCGGTAATACCGCGCACCCTTAGTCATGAGAATTCAACGTTAGAAATTGGCACTAGTCCTGTTGTCAAGGCAAAAGTGCCCAATAGTTAAGGTATCATAAGGACTAGTAGAAATTTGCCATTTTTACGGGTTTTGCTTTATGTTATCATAATAAGGACTAGTGACCGCCTCCGTGGTCTTGTGGTAGAGCATCCACCCGGGGAGTGGATCCCCGGCCGCGTCATACCAAAAGACGCTAAAAGATGGTACTTGAAGTTACCCAGTCTGGTGCTCAGCATTAAGGGGCTAAAACAAGGACTGGTCGGCTCGAAGTCAGTATACTGTGTCTGAGTGGGGTATTCATGTTAAACTGTGGCATGGTATTTCAGTGAGCTAGCACTATAAATCGGCATCAGTTCGGACTAGTACAAGCAGCCGCACACACACATGCATGCACGTCGCTATATAAGTGCAATAATCTTGGACACGACGTTAAACCCAATTTCACCCTACCTATAAGGGACTAGTGGACTAAAAATGTTACTTTCTCCCCCTGGAGATAAGATCATGCTGACTGATAATACGGAGTGGGGTCAAGGATTTTGAAATACCGTATTCGGCGTAATAAACGCCCCGCTCTAATAAGTGCCCACGGCGATATTTGCTAATATATTGGCAAGTGAACAATCCCAATTAGCACCCCTTCCGATTGATCAATGTACACAAGACTTATCTATTCGTGTATAATACGCACTTGTTTGTATATGCACCCTTAATTATGGGCAATTAAATTCTGGAAAATATATCTGTCGTATATAAACAGTTCAGGCTGTCAACATAATCCACGAAATTTATCTTTCAACTCTGTTTTTTTCCACCAAAATAATATTTTTAATAAGAGACCCCTATTATAATTTTGAGAGCGCCCTATTCGGTAGGCGGATTGAGCATAATTCATTACAATGATGAGGTTTGAACAAGTAGTAGTGACCAAAATACAAAGGCGAATTGCCTAAAAGGCTCCCATACACCCTCGTGGTGAAAGGATACATCGGTTGATACAATACACGAAACACGTGTCTACAGCTAGCTAGCCTGCTCTGAAATATTTTTAGTCAAGACATTTCCACCAATTTGACGTAAATATGCTTATTCCGATACGTATCGTATTGTGACCTTTGTACTGTGATACGTATTGTATCGAGGCCTTACTGTATGGTTTCACCTCTAGTACACAGCTGCACCCCCTCTCTGGATCCGCCAGTGTTATAGGATGGCAAAATCAATGACTTGGTCACAGTCCATGTCCAATCAAACACTGGGAGGTATCAAATGTACTTTGATCACTATAATCAATTGCAGTCTACTTGGTTACACCTGTAATGATTGCTGTACAAGAACACGCATGTTCAGTGTTTGAAAGTAAAGGGCTCCTGCAGCAGTAGATTTATCAATTCCTTTGGCCTCATTTCGTGGTGATTTATGAGCAAATATGAAATGAAAGTTAACTATTTTTGGTATTTAAGTCACCTGCTACTGTTCATTATGACACCATAGCTCTGCAGAGTTATTACTTTGATAACAAAATTTGGCAGTTTGTTTTGTGCCAATTTGGGAACATTTACTGACAAATGTTTTCAGACTATGAATACGCCATGATCCATCCATCCACGGGATCGAATATCGGCCTCTAGGCTGCTCTCCGCCTTAGTTTCTTTTCCAGTTTAGTCGCTAAGAGACTTTTTCACCTATTGTTCTTTCGCCAACATCGGTATATCCAGTTCTCTGTTGGTGTGTCGCACAATGTTTCAGAGATAGTGGTGGGGTTAAAATGGATACTAGTTTTGCTTTTTAGCTCACCTGGAACCAGTCATTAGTACCCATAGCAACATGTTCCCTACATACTTCCTGACTTTCCCATTATGTCGCCATTGCAACATGTTCCCTACATACTTCCTGACTCTCCCCTGAACACTTGCAGGTACATCCCCACCTTGATATGGGGGAAGAGCGGCCACATCCAGACGATCGTGTACGGCAAGATGGGGCGTGTCCAGTACCCCGACCTCAAGGGGGACAGACACGAACACATCATGTCCGACGGCGCCACCTCCACGTTCGATGTGTACCATCCTCTCTCAGAACACCAAGCAGGAGGTAGGGCGGGATGTATTAACAGAGGTGCCAGTCTTTACGAAGTTGGCTTATAACGACAAATTTTAGCCTGAAAATATGCTATTAGCGTATTCGACGTAATAAGCGCCCCGCTCTAATAAGCGCCCATGGCAATATTTGCTAATATATTGGCTAGTGAACAATCCAAATCAGCACCCCTTCCGGTTATCAATGTACACAAGACTTATTTATTCGTGTATAATACACACTCGTGTGTTATATCACCCTTAATTATGGGCAATAATTTAAATTATTGAAAAATATATCGGTAGTATGTAAACATTTCAGGCTGTTAGCATAAACCACGAAATTTACAATCTTTCAACTCAAAATTATATTCTAATAAGCGCCCCCTATTTCTAATTTTGAGAGCGCCCTGGGCGCTTATTACTTTAAATACTGTCCTGTTTTTTTTGCATATTATACACATGATATTATATAACATAGAGCAAATTGTTAATGCACCCGTGACTTGAAGAATTGATCAGCAAGATTATGCTGACCAATGAGTGACATGTCTTTGACAGGCCAATCAGTGATAAGTTAAGTGTAGGCTCCCTTTGTCCATTGCTGTCGTAAAAGGCGACTAACGGGATCGGGTGGTCAGGCTCGCTGACTTGGTTGAGACATGTCATCGATCCCAATTGCGTGGATCGATGCTCATGATAGCAATCACTGGATTGTCTGGTCCAGACTCGATTATTTACAGACCGTCATATAGCTGGAATATTGCTGAGTGCGGCGTTAAACAACCAACCAACCAACCAACAACCTTTGTCCATTGCTGATCAGCGTCAATTATCTGTTGGCTTCTCTTCTTAAGTTTCCACCTTTGTTATCGTATTACTTTTGTTGTTCTTACAGGAAAATATATATGCTCTCTGCCTCGTAGCATTTATTCACCTGATGAATGAGTAAGCATACTCCGAAATGTTGTGTTCCTCATAATAAAGGAGTTGACATCCATAGATTCTTTTCCCTAATGATATAGCCATGCTATAAATTTATACCATACATAGTGTTAAAATATTTCATTATTCATTTATGCGAGGTCTCTGATTGGTTGGTATGTTAAAACACACTCAAGTCATATTATCGATCTTAGAAGTTGGCCGCAACTGAATAGTTTGAATCTACAATTCATTTTATTTCCAGCAAGTTCAAGGGCAAATTATTTGAATCCAGCATTTACAGGAACTGATGATCTTTTTTTTAAAAATCCCACATGCTCTAACACCTGTGACTCTTTAAATTTAAATGTTCAGCTCCCTTACGGGATGCAGATGGGCTCCTTGTTTCGCTGGCCAGAGTCAGTTTGTGTTATGTTGAAGCTATCTCAAATCCCAAGATCTGGTAGAATTTCAAGCTTCTTTTTGTTCAATCAGGGTAAGTTTCATCCCTGGTATGATGTTCTACAGTTATCTCTGGCTACAAGTTACAACGCTACCTTTGGGGTAAAATAATTGATGAGCGTTATAGACGATCAGGGGTTTAACCGAGGTGGAGTCGTAGGGAGTAGATGACCAATAGATCAGTACATGCTCTGCCTACCTAACATGATCTACATTGCACTTTTTAGTGTTTAATAAAAGATTAGAATACTAGTTGTTTATGATTTATAGCGTAAAAAAGATTTATGGAGCGTTATGCGCTCTAAGAATAACACATCAGATCCCTTCTGCGAATTCAACGAAGAGGTATAACAAACTTGGTCAACAAAAATGTGAAATTTGATATAAAACATCAAAAGACATGATGATTTACCATTTAAATTGTATTTCCTGCTTTCCAAGGCATTGTTTGATATGTAGATATTTAGATTACCATGTGTATTATTATCACCATAATTTTTCATTGGGGTGGAAAGCCCGAAGTGATGGAGATATCAGACATGTACCACTTCGGTTAAACCCATGAGTACCAGTATGGTGCTGACAAACCTAGATACCTAATCGGGACAAACCGTGATTCGAACCCACAATCTTAGACAACTGGGTCACCCGTGACCCTGATTGAGAATAGTGATGAGTTGACTGAATGTGTGTGTTGTAGGAGACTACTCCCTGCTCGTGTGTCCGGGGATAGCCAACTGCAGCGAGAGCCCCTACATCCGCACCCTGGTGCACATGGCCCAGCGGGGAGGCTACAGGGTGGCGGTCCTCAACCATCTCGGGGCTTTACGAGATGTGGAACTCACGTCACCGCGGATATTTGATTATGGTGAGTATGATCTCATTTTCGTGTCTGCCCATAAGTGCTTCTCGACTTCATCCTGCTTGAAACATCTTGGTGCATAAAGACCCTAGGCTGATACACAAGAGTTGTCTCCCCTAGCACATACACAGTAATTGTTTCCCCTACGGCATACACAAGAGTTGTCTTCCCTAGCACATACACAGGAGTTTTCTCCCATAGCACATACACAAGAGTTGTCTCCCCTCGCACATACACAGGAGTTTTCTCCCTTAGCACATACACAAGAGTTGTCTTCCCTAACACATACACAGTAATTGTCTCCCCTACTACATACACAAGAGTTGTCTTCCCTTGCAGATGTTGGGTGATGTTCCATTAGTCTGCAATCTTGAACCAATCTGATCAAACAAACAACAAGTTAACTCATCTGGGGAATATGGTTAGTCGTACACATTTTAATTTAAATGAATTCGATCACATTCCCCAAGACATTAACAAAACTATAAACGTTGGTACATTTGGGGTTAGAGGGCAGATTTCAAGATTCTGGTCATGGCTGCGCCCACACTGGTGGCAGCAATGTTACCGAGTGTGTAACTAAGGTGCCACGTGCTGGGAAGGAGCTTGATACACAAGAGTTGTCTTCCCTAGCACATACACAAGATTTATCTTCCCTAACACACAGATAACAGATGTCTTCCCTGTTAATTGTTAATGAGAGCTGTGTTCCCTATATGGTTAACGAGAGTTGGCTCCCCTTCTTCCCTATACTGTCAATGAGAGTTGTCCCCCTTTTCCCCCTATACTGTTAACGAGAGTTGTCTCCCCCTTCTTCCCTATACTGTCAACGAGAGTTGTCCCCTCTTTTCCCTTTAATGTTATCGAGAGTTGCCTCTCCTTCTTACCTATACTGTCAATGAGATTTGTGTCCCCTTCTTCCCTGTACTGTTATCGAGAGTTGCCTCCCCTGCAGGAAGTACACAGGAGTTCCATCACATGGTGGAGGACATGAGGAAGATCTATCCAAACAGCAGCTTCCTGGCCGTAGGCTTCAGCATGGGCGCCAACATCATCACCAAGTATCTCGGGGAGCACCCTGACCACCAGAAACACTTCATCTGTGGGATGTCCCTGTGTCAGGGATACGATGTTATACAGTGAGTTGTTCAGTTCAACAGGATGAAGGCATAAGTAGTAGACGTGTGACTTTAAAAGTTGTCCACCAATCTCTAGGGGGACATGTTAGTGTATGTGTGGTCTCCTCTAACAAACACACAAGAGTTGTCTTCCCTAACACATACACAGTAATTGTCTCCCCTAACACATACACAAGAGTTGTCTCCCCTACTACATACACAGTAATATTTCCCTGAAGCCCCCTTTTGAAAACTACATGTGGTATATTGTAGGCAGTAAAATTATTTGAGAGATGATGGCCACTTCCTTTTAAAAATGCTGGATCCGCCCTTGCAACCTATGTCCCCTAAGGGAACGGTGGACAACCAATTTACCTCACCACACACCTAATTCTATTGTCGTATACATGTCTTATTCATGCACTGAATTGGTAAGAATACCACAGTTAGGCGTTTATCTTCTCTTGCAAAATAGCAGACAACAGAAAACAAACTTAGACTTATTCACCCTATATCTGTTTCATTCAAAAATATTGTAAATATACGGAGAATGTCTCAATTCAAAACCTTTAGAGTTAATGTAGAATATAGAAGCAATATCAACTGTCTCTGGACATTGAATAAACATCATAACCACCATATTGAAAATGCCATTTTTGCCCATAAAAATTCAACTCTGAACGTAAAAAAATAATGCTGATCACACTTAATGACGAGGTTCTAATACTAGGATCCCTGGCTGGAGCCTAGTCTGTCATACAGACCCTGAAACAAATATATCCAATACAGCCCATGCAAGTCTATAATGTTTGGTAAGTCTAGATTACTGCAGAAAGTCTCTGGGCTCCTTTTTATTATATTTTATAACTATAATTTAACAACTGTTTTTTTCTGTAAAATATATTCATTTCTGAGACTAGATGTTAGTCTAATATAGCGACGTGAGAACCAAGACTATTGTTAGATGTTAGTCTAGCTTGAGCCTTGCAGCTGTTGAATGTGTTGTTAATGGCAGGCAATTAAGGGTTCACACAAAGTCCATGCAAAGAGCAGACCTTCATTTGACCTTCCACATGGTATAACAATATACACAACCATCACTGATACACTAATACTCAGAGCAGCAGTATAGTCTAGAAGGTAATTTAAGGTACCGACGTTTACTACAATATCTGAAAAACTATTGGACCTACTCCAGTCAAAATTGGTATGAGATTATTAAACAGCCATACATAACTGGATATTACATTTAAAGACAATCGGTGCATGAATAAAAAATCTGTCTATTTAGCTATCACTATGTTTCATCAACAACCAGACCTGTTCGTCACGGGTGGAATGAGCATTCATTGTAACAGCCATCTGCATAACGCTACCCCTGCGTCACAGGGCTATATGACACAGTTGAACCAATCAACTCAACTCGAAAGGTTGCACGGGAATCACCCAAGCACGAATACGGTGTTAGCGTTGGGCGTCTCAAGCAGTTATTTAATAATATTTATCCAATTATTTTTGCATTCTTTTTCAGGTCAGTGTTATTGACTAGAATGTATCATTCCTTGCCACATTATTATAACATACCAACTTTGACTGGAGTAGGTCCAATAGTTTTTCAGATATTGTAGTAAACGTCGGTACCTTAAATTAACTTCCAGACTTTAGGTGTTCACTTGATGGAGGAAGACAGTGACCTGTGAACCCATCAATGTTCTATCTTGTGTATCTGTCTGCCTGTGTAGGGTGCGCCCCCAGATAATGAGCTTCTTCCTGCCCCGACTGTATGTCTACGCGATGACGGAGAATATAAAAAAGATGCTGCAACGACACCGCAACATCCTCTTCAGCGCCTCGGCGCAGGAAAAGTATGGCAGTTTCAACATGGAGAAGATATTCAGCTCAACCTCGCTCGAAGCCTTGGATGAAGCTTACAGCTGGTAGGGCAGATTACACAGGTGTATCATAGAACATGGGGAGAGTGATCATGGGGATAGTGGAGGTGGGAGATGGGGGTAGTGGAGGGGGGGAGAAGTGGATAGTGGAGGTGGGAGACAGGGATAGTGGAGGTGGGAGACTGGGATAGTGGAGGGGGGAGACGGGGTAGTGGAGGTGGGAGACAGGGATAGTGGAGGTGGGAGGCAGGGATAGTGGAGGTGGGAGACTGGGATAGTGGAGGTGGGAGACGGGGTAGTGGAGGTGGGAGACAGGGATAGTGGAGGTGGGAGGCAGGGATAGTGGAGGTGGGAGACAGGGATAGTGGAGGTGGGAGGCAGGGATAGTGGAGGTGGGAGACAGGGATAGTGGAGGTGGGAGGCAGGGATAGTGGAGGTGGGAGACTGCGATAGTGGAGGTGGGAGACGGGGTAGTGGAGGTGGGAGACAGGGATAGTGGAGGTGGGAGGCAGGGATAGTGGAGGTGGGAGACAGGGATAGTGGAGGTGGGAGGCAGGGATAGTGGAGGTGGGGTAGTGGAGGTGGGAGACGGGGATAGTGGAGGTTGGAGATGGGGAAAGTGGAGGTGGGAGACAGGGATAGTGGAGGTGGGAGACGGGGATAGTGGAGATGGAAGATGGGGAAAGTGGAGGTGGGAGATGGGGAAAGTGGAGGGGGGAGACGGTGATAGTGGAGGGGGGAGATGGGGTAGTGGAGGTGGGAGACAGGGATAGTGGAGGTGGGAGGCAGGGATAGTGGAGGTGGGAGACTTGGATAGTGGAGGGGGGAGACGGGGTAGTGGAGGTGGGAGACAGGGATAGTGGAGGTGGGAGGCAGGGATAGTGGAGGTGGGGTAGTGGAGGTGGGAGACGGGGATAGTGGAGGTTGGAGATGGGGAAAGTGGAGATGGGAGACAGGGATAGTGGAGGTGGGAGACAGGGATAGTGGAGGTGGGAGACGGGGATAGTGGAGATGGAAGATGGGGAAAGTGGAGGTGGGAGATGGGGGTAGTGGAGGTGGGAGACAGGGATAGTGGAGGTGGGAGACTGGGATAGTGGAGGTGGAAGAAGTGGATAGTGGAGGTGGGAGACAGGGATAGTGGAGGTGGGAGACGGGGATAGTGGAGGTGGAAGAAGTGGATAGTGGAGGTGGGAGACGGGATAGTGGAGGTGGGAGACTGGGATAGTGGAGGTGGGAGACTGGGATAGTGGAGGGGGGAGACGGGGTAGTGGAGGTGGGAGACAGGGATAGTGGAGGTGGGAGGCAGGGATAGTGGAGGTGGGGTAGTGGAGGTGGGAGACGGGGATAGTGGAGGTTGGAGATGGGGAAAGTGGAGATGGGAGACAGGGATAGTGGAGGTGGGAGACAGGGATAGTGGAGATGGAAGATGGGGAAAGTGGAGGTGGGAGACAGGGATAGTGGAGATGGGAGACAGGGATAGTGGAGGGGGGAGAAGTGGATAGTGGAGGTGGGAGACGGGGATAGTGGAGGTGGAAGAAGTGGATAGTGGAGGTGGGAGACAGGGATAGTGGAGGTGGGAGACAGGGATAGTGGAGATGGGAGACAGGGATAGTGGAGGGGGGAGAAGTGGATAGTGGAGGTGGGAGACAGGGATAGTGGAGGTGGGAGACTGGGTAGTGGAGGTGGGAGACAGGGATAGTGGAGGTGGGAGACAGGGATAGTGGAGGTGGAAGAAGTGGATAGTGGAGGTGGGAGACAGGGATAGTGGAGATGGGAGACAGGGATAGTGGAGGGGGGAGACGGGGTAGTGGAGGTGGGAGACAGGGATAGTGGAGGTGGGAGACAGGGATAGTGGAGATGGGAGACAGGGATAGTGGAGGGGGGAGAAGTGGATAGTGGAGGTGGGAGGCAGGGATAGTGGAGGTGGGAGACAGGGATAGTGGAGGGGCGAGACGGGGTAGTGGAGGTGGGAGACAGGGATAGTGGAGGTGGGAGACAGGGATAGTGGAGGTGGAAGACATGGATAGTGGAGGTGGGAGACAGGGATAGTGGAGGTGGGAGAAGGTGATAGTGGAGGTGGAAGGAGTGGATAGTGGAGGTGGGAGACAGGGATAGTGGAGGTGGGAGACAGGGATAGTGGAGGTGGGAGACTGGGAAAGTGGAGGTGGGAGACAGGGATAGTGGAGGTGGGAGACAGGGATAGTGGAGGTTGGAGATGGTGATAGTGGAGGTGGGAGAAGTGGATAGTGGAGGTGGGAGACGGTGATAGTGGAGGTGGGAGACAGGGATAGTGGAGGTGGGAGGCAGGGATAGTGGAGGTGGGAGAAGTGGATAGTGGAGGTGGGAGATGGTGATAGTGGAGGTGGGAGACAGGGATAGTGGAGGTGGAAGACAGGGATAGTGGAGGGGGGAGACGGGGTAGTGGAGGTGGGAGACAGGGATAGTGGAGGTGGGAGAAGTGGAGGTGGGAGACTGGGATAGTGGAGGGGGGAGAAGTGGAGGTGGGAGACTGGGATAGTGGAGGTGGAAGAAGTGGATAGTGGAGGTGGGAGACAGGGATAGTGGAGGTGGGAGACAGGGATAGTGTTGGTGGGAGACAGGGATAGTGGAGATGGGAGAAGTGGATAGTGGAGGTGGGAGACAGGGATAGTGGAGGTGGGAGGCAGGGATAGTGGAGGTGGAAGGAGTGGAAAGTGGAGGTGGAAGAAGTGGATAGTGGAGGTGGGAGAAGTGGATAGTGGAGGCAGGGATAGTGGAGGTGGGGTTGAGGTGGGAGACGGTGATAGTGGAGGTGGGAGACAGGGATAGTGGAGGTGGGAGACAGGGATAGTGGAGGTGGGAGACAGGGATAGTGGAGGTGGGAGACAGGGATAGTGGAGGTGGGAGACTGGGAAAGTGGAGGTGGGAGACAGGGATAGTGGAGGTGGGAGACAGGGATAGTGGAGGTTGGAGATGGTGATAGTGGAGGTGGGAGAAGTGGATAGTGGAGGTGGGAGACGGTGATAGTGGAGGTGGGAGACAGGGATAGTGGAGGTGGGAGGCAGGGATAGTGGAGGTGGGAGAAGTGGATAGTGGAGGTGGGAGATGGTGATAGTGGAGGTGGGAGACAGGGATAGTGGAGGTGGAAGACAGGGATAGTGGAGGGGGGAGAAGTGGAGGTGGGAGACTGGGATAGTGGAGGTGGAAGAAGTGGATAGTGGAGGTGGGAGACAGGGATAGTGGAGGTGGGAGACAGGGATAGTGTTGGTGGGAGACAGGGATAGTGGAGATGGGAGAAGTGGATAGTGGAGGTGGGAGACAGGGATAGTGGAGGTGGGAGGCAGGGATAGTGGAGGTGGAAGGAGTGGAAAGTGGAGGTGGAAGAAGTGGATAGTGGAGGTGGGAGAAGTGGATAGTGGAGGCAGGGATAGTGGAGGTGGGGTTGTGGAGGTGGGAGACGGTGATAGTGGAGGTGGGAGACAGGGATAGTGGAGGTGGGAGACAGGGATAGTGGAGGTGGGAGAAGTGGATAGTGGAGGTGGGAGACGGTGATAGTGGAGGTGGGAGACAGGGATAGTGGAGGTGGGAGACAGGGATAGTGGAGGTGGGAGACAGGGATAGTGGAGGTGGGAGACAGGGATAGTGGAGGTGGGAGACAGGGATAGTGGAGGTTGGAGATGGTGATAGTGGAGGTGGGAGAAGTGGATAGTGGAGGTGGGAGGCAGGGATAGTGGAGGAGATGGGGATATATCAAAGCCTAGTTTCTACATCTTCCCGAGGCAAGCTTGTCTCCTAGCCTATATCAAAGCCTAGTTTCTACATCTTCCCGAGGCAAGCATGTCTCCTAGCCTATATCAAAGCCTAGTTTCTACATCTTCCTGAGGCAAGCATGTCTCCTAGCCTATATCAAAGCCTAGTTTCTACATCTTCCCGAGGCAAGCTTGTCTCCTAGCCTATATCAAAGCCTAGTTTCTACATCTTCCCGAGGCAAGCATGTCTCCTAGACTATATCAAAGCCTAGTTTCTACATCTTCCTGAGGCAAGCATGTCTCCTAGCCTATATCAAAGCCTAGTTTCTACATCTTCCCGAGGCAAGCTTGTCTCCTAGCCTATATCAAAGCCTAGTTTCTACATCTTCCCGAGGCAAGCATGTCTCCTCGACTATATCAAAGCCTAGTTTCTACATCTTCCTGAGGCAAACGTGTCTACTAGCCTATATCAAGGCCTAGTTTCTACCCTTGGCATATCAAGGCCACTTTTCTTGAATTCAACCCTGGCGCCATGTCATGTAGATCATAAGTTGTGCCCCTTGTAATGAAAACGCGATAGTCAATCAGATCGCTTTTCTTATCTGGTATAGCTTCACAAACATGGCGACTACCATCACGTCAAAAACATTTGTGATTTCCTCCATGACACAATATCATAGGCAGTTGTTGGGGGGTATATCGGATGAAAAAGTGAATTTCTTGTCAACAAAGACGGGCAGCGGTAGGTAAATCACTTTCATACGAGGGTGTCGTGGATGTTGATTTCTCTGACTGGAATATCGATATGTGCGATAGTCCAGTCATATTTAGCACAAGAAAGTGGGCTTGATGTGGCAAGGGTGGAAACAAGACTTTGATAAGGCCCGTGAAGATTCCGGGGTAGAATAGGTCTTCAGCAACCCATACTTGCCGTAAAAGGTGACTATGCTTGTTGTAAAAGGCGACTAATGGGATTGGGTGGTCAGGCTCGCTGACTTGGTTGATACATGTCATTGATCCCAATTGCGTGGATCGATGCTCATGATGTCAATCACTGGATTGTCTGGTCCAGACTCGATTATTTTACAAACCCCCATCATATAGCTGGAATATTGCTGAGTGTGGCGTTAAACAACAAACAAACAAACAAACAAAAAGACATTGATAAAATGGCTAGTGGACGGTCCTGCCTGAGCAAGATGAACCTATGCTTGTCATGACTTGTTCTCCATGTTTCAGTAAGCGACTGGGCTTCAAGTCTCTGGACGACTACTACCAGTCATGCAGCAGCGGCAACTACCTCAACAATGTAAGTCAGTTTGAGGCTGTTGTGACGGACGCCGTATTTTGCTGAGAAACTCTCACCAAGAAGACTGCACCATCCTTATTCTACAGTAGTCACAATCTGTTTGGGGGGCACAGGTGGCCCAGTCGTCTAAGGCGCCGCAATTTGCTGTGCAGAGTTGTGTCCCTTGGGCATGCCAGAAACCAATGATTGTGGGTTCGAATCCCGGTTTGCCCCGATTATGTTTCTAGGTTTGTCAGCACCATACCCGTGCTCGTTGGTTTCACCAAGGGGTAAACGTTTGAGACCTGCATCACTTCGGGCTTTCTTCCCACATTAAGCTGACACGCCATGATATAACTGGAATACTGTTAAAAGTGGCGTTAAACCCAACTCACCCACTACAGTAGTCACAATATGGTTGAAATACTGGGGATGTGACTATAAATCTTTACTCACTGACTCCTTGTCCTACAAAGTGAGTGAGTGAGTGAGTGAGGTTTTACGCCGCTTTTAGCAATATTCCAGCAATATCACGGCAGGGGACACCAGAAATGGGCTTCATGCATTGTACCCATGTCGGGAATCGAACCCGGGTCTTCGGCATGACGAGCGAATGCTTTAACCACTAGGCTACCCGGCCGCCCCTAAATCTGTCAGAGCTCTACTGCTGGTAATGCCCTGGCGTGACATTCGCTAAATGTCACAGCAAGTTTTGTTTGTTGTTGAATGCCGCCTCACTCAACTAGATACTGCTGGACATGGCTCACAATGATTTAAGACTTCTCTCGCTGTGATGTTTCATGTGTCTCATCAAGGCATTGGTCTGTCTGAGTGTCCGATGCATCCTGGCGTCATCTTTGTTTGATAGTGGTTCATAATCACAAGCTCGTGATACAGTAAGAATCGTACAATGGACTCGAAAGACGCCAATTACATATGATTAGGGACCGGCCATTTATTATGGGGATGGGGGATGTTGGAGGTGGGTCAGAGTTTTTAGGTGCAATGTTCTGAAAATTATCCCTTCTCTGCCTCTGTAATACATGTGATTACTATGTTCAATTTTGGAAACAACCATTTGATATTCACAAAAATATTTTGTTCCCGAAAATATTGAAAAGAAATAATTAGTTTTACCGAAAATATTGTTCACTGGACAAGGGAATTCACACATTGTACCCATGTGAGGAATTGAACCCGGGTCTCTGGTGTGACGAGCCAACACTTTAACCACTCGGCTACCCGACCGCGACTGACAGCCCCTGAAATTGTCCTGTTTTGGTGGAGAAAATACAATTCTTTGGCACCTCCTTTCATAGATTTAAAACTGCATGTTTTAAAGTAGTCCCCCCCAAAATATCGTGTATCTTTACATAAATCCTAGGCTCTCCCCAAACTTGCACAATAATTAATTTAAAAAAAACAAAGTGGTGGGTTTCTTATTAGAAATAAAATAAAATAAACTCTTTACTTTGCACACAATCACACAAATAAGTCCAAATAGATCAAGGTGATAAAAAATGAGACCCTTCAGTATTGAGGTTGCACCAAAGATTGACATCAGTTGGGATGCTAGCTAAACAAACAACTACGGTGAGCTACCGAACCTGATGGCTGTATTTGTATTTCAGGTGACGATACCGATGTTTATTCTGAATGCACTTGACGACCCCTTGGTGCCCCCCTGCCTTCACACGATCCCCCGGGAGTTTGCAGGTAACAGATCTTGCTGGGTTATTGGCCAACACTTCAGAAAATTGTGCCGTAAATATTTTTGTTTGCACATTTACGGCCCTTGATCCATGTTATTTTACTTGCACAGTGTATGCAAGGGGACAAGGTTTCTCAGATACTACTGAAGTGACATCAATGAAACTTTGCAAGCTTATCTATGAGATACTTATCAACTCTGAGTTTGAATTGGTGCCATAAATTATTTTTTCCAGAGTTACTTCCCTTGCTACATGTTTTTAGATTTTGAGCATACACAGTTATGCCCCTTGATTTATGCTATTTTACAAAGTGCCGGTGTGAGAAACTACTGAAGTTAGCTTATAAGAGATACTTATCAAGACTGAGTTTGAATTGCTGCCATAAATTATTTTTTCCAGAGTTACTTCCCTTGCTACATGTTTTTAGATTTTGAGCATACACAGTTATGCCCCTTGATCCATGTTATTTAACAAAGTGCCGGTGTGAGAAACTACTGAAGTTAGCTTTAAAGAGATACTTATCAAGACTGGGTTATTTTTTCCAGAGAAGGGGCCTTTTGCAGAGCTCCAGATAAGCTTTTGGTGTTGTGGGTATTTTACCCATGCATTTTAAAATCATTGGGTATCAGTAATTCTATCTGCGTATTCAAATTTCTGTTACCCACTAGTTTTGACACGTGGGTATTTAAGTTAAATATTTAAAAACACTATTCATCTAGTCCCTGCAAACTGGTGTCGTGTGGGTTCGAGAGCTTTATAGGACTCAAAAATACCACGATACTTCCACAAGAAAGTGTGATGGCAAATGATCATGATCTGACTGTCATCGTGGAGTTTGGCAAGGTTGACGGAATGCCAACTTATAATTTCAAAATAAGTTGCTCATTTGCTAATCGAATACGCAGGGTTACTTCACAATATTTTGATGATACGCACAAGTTTTATTTTTGTAGCGTATCTGTAATGTTCGCTGCGTATTTGATACGCTTGGATTATATTTTACTGCGTATTTCCGCATTTCTGATGCGTATTTCACGCAGATACGCAGCTTATCTGGAGCTCTGCTTTTGTGTGTATTAATGTTATATTTAATCCTTAAATGACATAAAGCGACTGTAGTACCTCTCTTCTTGGCTTTGTAGGACTCTATTTTTTATAGTTTATATTCCCAACTATGTGAACAAGCAAAATTCTAATGTTCCCCATGGTGGGGGATAGTGATAACACTGTTTTCTTGTACGTCTTATCCATATTTGATAAGGCCTAAAGATATATGCACTTTTTTCAAACATATTTAAATTATTAGGCTAAAAAAATTAAAATAATTGGTTCTCAGGCAATAGTGCAGGCAGGCAGGTGGTGTTTTTTTGGTGTGTTTTTTTCAAACTAGTATGTAACCAAAGAAACAGATGTGTAACAAAATAAACAATTGTGGGAAAGGGCCTCCCTACATAAATGTAGTCCTTGATGAGTAAAATACTGGAAAACAGTATTTGACTAACATTTGACTTGGAATATATAAGGATTTTTTATAAAAATAAATAAATAAAGAAATGAAAATGAAACGCTGCGAACTTTATGATGATGCCTGCGGTGCCTGAGAACCAAGCCTATTCTTTTTTTTAGCCTTAGGATAAAACATAATGATATGCCATATGTCATACATACATTCGATTCTAAACATGTTTACATTATGGGAATTATGTGTTTATATAGAACACTGATGGTCGGGTAGCCTAGTTGTTAAACCATTCGCCTTCGCCGAAGACCCCAGGTTCGATTCCCAACATGGGTATAATGTGTGAAGCCCATTTCTTGTGTCCCATGCTGGAATATTGCTAAAAGCGGCATAAAACGAGTCCAAATTTACTACCCAGGTACCAAACACCCCATTACCCGGCCCTATCTGGATACCCACTATAGGTCTGGAGAGTTGGGTACAAAATGTCCGAATGGGAATTTTTTACCGCAGCCCTGGCAAAAACTATTTAGATACATGTATAAAACAATCTGATCATGTATACTCTGCAGTTGATAGACGCTTTATCCTTAATTAGCTATACTTGTAGTGTAACCATTGCGTTATATTGTTAATGTCATTAAACAGTATGTCATGTGACTAACCACGGGTCTGGGTAGTCATGTGGGTACCCGGGTCCTACTCAGGACCCACCCGACCCGAGTACCCGAGTACTCGAGTTACCCGTCCCAGCCCTACCACATGTATATTCTGTTTAGGATTTAAACACATTCCTAAACATGTTGAGATTTAAACATATCTTGTACATTTTAAACCAATCTCATTAAAATCAGACCTTAGTTCTCGCTACCGCTAAACAAAGATCTGAAGACATCCCATTAGGGGTCACGTCAGAACGACCTTTCATCCGACCAATCAGTGCGTCGCTTACCAGATTATGAAAGTGACAGTCAGAATGTGATTTCTAGTCATGCAATCTCGAAAACTTTAACATGGTGTATTCCAAACGATAGTTACGGGCTAAAAGACTGAATCCTTACAATCTAGACCATCTATTAGCCATTCCAGAATTTTTTTTGTTCAGGTTTCAAATTTGTAATTGAGAATTTGTCAAAATATGTTTCGAAGTGTAGTCACCAATTTGAAATTCGTGCCGTAAAGCATGAGAAAGCTGCCTCCTGATTGGTCATTCCTTTGGTTGGTCAAAGTTCGCGCAAGGTCGGCCTGACGTGACCTGTAATGGGATGTCCTCAGATCTTTGTTTAGCGGAAGCGAGAACACAGATCTGATTTTAATGAGATTGATTCTAAACACATTAACACTCAGAATTTAACACAGACACACTGTATTTCTCCTTTAATGAACCAGTTACTGAGAGATGGAAAAATTCATTGGAGCTCTACAATGTAAAAGTAGGTTTCAAATCACAACAGCTGAAGTGGAGTTGTGGCACTGTAGAATACTACGGTGAACAGGATAAATAAAAAAATCAAAAGTGAAGAGGCTGGTTTTCTTTGAACTCAGCATGAGGGCATTCAACTGTTCGGAACAGGCCAGTGGGTGACTGACAGCTGCTGATTAATTGTTACCAGATGGCTCCAGCTGAGCCAGAAAATGACACACAATTCTAAGATGAATTGAAAAAAACCAATTGAAAGCATACTTTTAAGCATAGGGACCATACATTTTATTATCACTTTGTAACCATTTCAAAATAATGCAGATTAATAACAGAAATTTAATAACTCAAACTAAATTTAAATTAGTGCATGTTGTAATATCCTACAGAATTATGAATTGTATTAACAATTACAATGTTAGAAATTATTTCCATAAGCTAAGTACCTCTCTCTATGTTTAATATGAAATAATTATCAATAAGAATTATTTGTGATAATCTGAAGGTATAATAATGACAGTAAAATCATAATTAAAATTATATTATTCATCCTAAACTGAAGTAGTCATCTACACTATACCTTTAATGAAGAGTGAGTGAGTGAGTGAGTTGGGTTTAACGCCGCTTTTAACATTATTCCAGTTATATCGCGGCGTGTCAGCTTAATGTGGGAGGAAAGATCGAAGTGATGCAGGTCTCTGACGTTTACCACTTCGGTGAAACCCATGAGCACGGGTATGGTGCTGACAAACCTAGAAACATAATTTGGGCGAACCGGGATTCGAACCCACAATCATAGGTTTCTGGCGTGCCCAAGGGACGCAACTCTGCACAGCAAATCGCGGCGCCTTAGACGACTGGGCCACCCGTGCCCCCCCTTTAATGAAGAACCTATGAAGATCCGGGGTAGAATAGGTCTTCAGCAACCCATGCTTGCAGTAACAGGCGAGTATACTTGTCGTAAAAGGCGACTAAAGGGATCAGGTTGTCTGGCTCGCTGACTTGGTTTATGCATGTTCCAATTGCGTGGATCGATGCTCATGATGTCAATCACTGGATTGTCTGGTCCAGACTCGATATTTACAGACTGACGTCATATAGCTGGAATATTGCTGAGTGTGGCGTTAAACAACAAACAAACAAACATACCAACATATCATTATCAATATTGTGCAGCAAGTCTAGGAAACAGTGAGGATCAGGAAGTGCATCACATTAGCATCTTCTTCGGACACTATACACAAGCTAGAAAAGAACACTTGCCACTACTTCCAGTGGAGGGGGCATGGGTGGCCCAGTCGTCTCAGGCGCCGCGATTCGCTGTGCAGAGTTGCGTCCCTTGGGCACGCCAGAAACCTATGATTGTGGGTTCGAATCCCGGTTCGCCCCGATTATGTTTCTAGGTTTGTCAGCACCATACCCGTGCTCGTGGGTTTCACCGAAGTGGTAAACGTCTGAGACCTGCATCACTTCGGGCTTTCCTCCCACATTAAGCTGACACGCCATGATATAACTGGAATACTGTTAAAAGCGGCGTTAAACCCAACTCACTCACTCACTCACTCACTCACTCACTCACTCACTCACTCACTCACTCTCACTCACTCACTCACTCACTCACTCACTCACTCACTCACTCACTCACTCACTCACTCACTCACTTCCAGTGGAGAGAAAATTCACCTAAGTGTCACATAGGCAAGCACTTTTCCATTCATTGCATGTTGCTCTTTCATGTTTTGTTACCTGAAAATTGAGGAAAAACATTCCTGTTTTTGATTTCATAGAAGTTAGATCAACAGTTGATGTTAAACTTGTGAAGATAGCAAATGATAGTTTTCTATCAAACCATCAACCAATACTACATCATGAAATTCTAAGTCGACAGTCTTGGTGTTTATGTTTGCTGATGAGCTTTTACAGTTGAAAGGCAGGAGCACATTTATTTCATGACACAAATATATCCAAAACAACCCATCCAAGTCTATAATATTTGGCAAGTCTAGATTACTGCAGTTATATCAGGCAAATATGAACAGATTCACTGGGCTCCTTTTATTATATTTTATTAGGATAATTTTACAACTGTTTTTTTCTCCAAGAGATTGATTTCAGAGGTTACCGT